GAGCTCCCGCACGTCACCTCCGCCGATGATCTGGAGAACCCCCTTGACGCCATCGACCCCAAGGCGGAGGTCACTCGTCCACTTGGGCGAGCGCTTGAGGGCCATGAAGAACGGGTCATAGATCTTGTTGAACGATCTCTGCCGGTCACGAACGTCGAGGGGGAGGTCCTGCCGACAGCGAGAGTCAACCGTCTTCTTCGCACGCTTGTCTGTCCACTCGTGTCCACCCGTTTCTTTGTAGGCATTCTGGAACACCTTTGCACTGACCGGGCTCGGGGACTTGAGCTTCTATGACTGCGATGCCCCATGGAACGTGGCCTCCACATTATCAAGCAAGTGTTGGGAGCGCCGCACGATATGCTCCTCACAGTGAGCCTTGCGAGCCTCACGAAGCAGCGGGCGACGAAAGGCGACGATGGAGCGCACTGTTGCATCCGAGGGCATCTGATGAGCAGGGCCTCGACCACGACCTGCAACCGCACTGGTATCTTCATCGGGTAGGCCCCCGCCAGCACTCCCTGCCGTAGTACTGCGAGCTTGTCCATTCGCAATATCTTCCACTTGGCTGGAGAGCACTGCGATGGTACAGTTCTGCTATTTGATCTGCTCCTGGTGGCTGATCATGTCCTGCTGAATGGACTCCAGGATGATATCGTGATCTGCAATATGGTTGTTGCTGTTGGCCACGGACATGTCTAGCTTGTCAATGACGGTCTTCTGCGAGTCGCCGATGAGCTGCCTCATGCTGGCGAGGAGGTCGGTGTTGTCCAGTCTACGAGGATCTGCACGACGGGGGAAATCCGACCTGGAGTCACTCGACGAATGGCCACGGCGTGATTTGGCATCCCTGCTGGAGGTGCGACTGCTCGATGATCCACTTGGATGAGAGCGTCGCCGCCGAGGATCCACGGATTTGCTCTGTGACTCACGACGCACTCGGCTACGACTCTGGCTGCTCTCTTGCTGACGCTGAGCACGACCTTTCTGCACTATGGCGGTACTGCAGGAACGGGCGGGCAAAATGCCGCGCAGCCCGTGCCTGCGCCTTGGTGCGGGGAAGTGATGTATAGAGTGGCAGGAAAGATCCCCACCTGGCTGGGCAGCCACCTGTGGAGGGGATCACGGTGCTGACCTGGCCAGCTGCCTCGCGAAATGTTTCACTTGAGCCAAAATGGCTTGAGCCAAAATGGCAACGGCGGAGGAGGGAGGAGGAGGAGGAGGAGGGAGGAGGGAGGAGGAGGAGGAGGAGGAGGAGGAGGAGGAGGAGGAGGAGAAGGGGGGAGGAGGAGGAGGAGGAGGAGGAGGAGGAGGAAGGGGGGAGGGAGGAGGAGGAGGAGGAGGAGGAGGAGGAGGAACGATGCTGCGATAAGCCCTCCTCCCCTCACAAGTCCCCTACTCGGAAGTCCCGACAAGCCTCCCCTTCCGCTGCAGAAGAAACAACGCCCCCTTGAGAGGCCAGCACCACGTTGCCCATGGGCCGTGCCGTCCAGGCGAGAGCCCCGCTCTGGAAAAAACGTTTCTTCATCCTTCGAGCGTGAAAGCAAGAATGCGAACAAGCATGACAACGCGATTCAATGAGTTGTCCCGCGAGGTTCCCCTTCTGAGAAGGGGCCGCACCCCACCCGTGCAGCCGCTGCACAAGCTTACGCCTCTGGCCACGGGCATCGAGGACGTCCCAAGCGAAAGCACAACATGGAACCGCCCTCCAATCGTGCAGCTGCCACATGCGTTGCAGGACCTGGTCTTTGAAGTTGAGGAACGACCGAGCGAGACCCCCAGTTTGAACAGGAACCGCCGCCCGCCCGAGCATCTGCTGCAAACTTGCAGGACGAATGCGCGCTGCGCCAAAGCGAGAGCCCCTTTTTGAGAAGGGGCCGTCCACAACCCATGCAGCCGTTGGACATAATGTCGAGACGAATGTACGCACCGCTGAGACGAGAATCCGATCTGGAGAAGGAACCGCCCACAATCCTCGTGGCTGGAACATGTTAAAAGGAATGTGCGCAGTGTCAGGGCGAGAGCCCCACTTGAAAACCACCTGCGCTCCATCCGAGTAGCTGTTGCATGCGTTTGAGACGAATGTACGCGGCGCTGAGGCGAGAGCCTTATATTGAAAAGGAGCCTCCCTCCATCCTAGTTCCCCACCCTCTGAGGCGCGAGTGCTGAAGGTTGTTCACCTAAGGGGCACACAGACCCGGATTCTGGGCGCTACTAGGCGCTCACGGCGCTCCTGCGCATTGCCGCATGACTTGTTCGGAGCCAAGAGGGCCCCGGGACAGCCTAAGAGGGCCCCAAGAGACCCCCAAGACGGTGCAAGAGCGCCCCGAGTCGCCCGCATACCGTTCCAAGACGCCCAAGATGACCTCCAGAGGACCCGAAACGCCCCCAAGACCCCCGAAGAGGGCTCCAGGGCCCCCTAAGCTCATTGATTCTCCTTAGGCGCATGCTCGACGCTCCAAGACGGCTCAAGAGACCCCCAAGGTTCGCACCGAGTCGGCCCACGAGGTCTCCAAGAGGGCCCCCAGACTGCCAAGGAGGGCCCCAAGACGGGCCAACAGAGGCCCTACAGAGAGGGAACACGAAACGGCAGTTCGAGCCCTCGGCCAAAACATGACTTCCCAGATTGCCAGAAGCCCTCCAAGAAGTCCCCCAAAAAAAGCTGCAGGAGGCCCCCAAGACGCCCAAATCATGCCCCAAGAGGCCCCGAAGAGGCCTCCGAGAGGCCGCAAAGACACCCCAACACCGTCTGAAAGAGGCTTTCGAAAGCCCTCCCAAGAGATCGCCGCAGGCACCCAAGAGGCCTCTCCTGACCTACGCAACCAAGGCACGGTGACGGGGCCAAAGGCCACTAGGTCCGCCGCCTCCTGTGGCTTCCGATAGGGGTGCACGGCAAACGCAATGTTAGGTGCGTAGTCGTTGTTGATGTTGTTGATAATGTTGAAATCTCCTTACTGAGCAATAGCAATTGTTAATCCCTCCTCTGGGGCGCAATGTGTTTTTCAATGGCAGTGCCCTTGCTGGGGCTCGCACCGTTTTTTTGACAGGGAAAGGTCTTGGGTCTCAGAGTTGTGCCATTGGCCCCCGGTATACAACAACGACGGCTCCCGCCTAATACTTCCGCAGGGAGTATTTAAGAATCGCGCTCTCGCGTGGGACTTACTCGCAATTTTGTCAGACGCCGTGCCCGACACTCAGGAGCAAAGCTCTCTGAGGAGCCAAGCTCTCGCAGTGGGAATCGCACTATCGCTCGAGACTTCTTCGCGATTCAAGCAGGACGCATGCTTCAGCAACCCGCCAGCTCGACTTGGCCTTCTGTGCCCGCCTTACCGACCCGCCCGTTAGGCTCTACCCGCCCGATCTGCCCGTCTGGTTCTGCCAAATGTGTTATGCTCCTAGCCCCCATCCTGCTAGTCTCTCTCGTGCTCCATCCTCCTCCCTCCCCCTTGTCCCTGCCTTCCGTCCGTCTTTTCTTCCCCTGCCTTAGGGGTTGCACGAAATGCACGTTGCAGGTGAAAAAGCTATGCCCCTAAGGGGGTACGATCGCAGACGAAGAGGACGGGTATCGAGGGTTTGAAATCTACGCGATGAATGCCACGACAAGAGCGAACAGTCTTGAACAGATGAGCGTTGGTGTTGCTGCTGCTGTTGTTGGTGTTGGTGTTGGTGTTGTTGCTGGTGTTGTTGGAGGTGCTGTTGTTGCCGTGCCGTTGTTGCTGCTGCTGCTGGTGTTGGTGTTGGAATTGCTGGTGACGGTGGTGGTGGTGTTGTTGGTGTTGCTGTCGTGTTGCTGTCGTTGTTGTTGTTGGTGGTGGCGTTGATGTTATTGGTGTTGCTGGTGCTGTTGCTATTGCTGTTGCTGTTGTTGTCGTTATTGGTGTTGTTGCTGCTGTTGCTGTTTGTGTTGTTGTTGAATTCTCACATCTAAACAATAAGTAATGTTAACCCCCCTGCCCGGTAACCATTGTATTGTTTAATCCATTGTATTGTTTAATCAAAATGCGTCTCCTGGAGCTCGCACCGTGTTTTTTGGGGAAGGGACAATGACGTGCCACCAAACTGTGCCCTTGGCCCCCGAGTTACAACAGCAACGGTTCCCGCCTGATCCTTCCTCGCGGAAGGCCCCAAGTCGGCGCAGAGAGGCCCGCAAGGCGGCTTCCGACGGTGTCTGACGGGCCAGGAACGCCCCCGGGCAGCCAAAGTGCCTCCCAAGGAGCTTGCAAAGGCCCCTAAGAAGCCCCCATGAGGCTTCCAGGATGCTACACAAGTATCCCAAGACGCTCCCCAGAGGCATACTCCTCTTCCTCCTCCTCCTCCTCCTCCTCCATGTTCCTCCCTCTCCTCCTCTTCTTTCTCCCTCACGTGTTCCCAGAAGGGTTTCCACGACGACTGGGGGAACACGTAATCCGGTAGCATGGCCGAACTCTGGCCGCAACGTTCGGCCACACGGGCTCTCCCAAAGGCAGAGGGGCGGCGGCGATTCACAATAGGCCCGTGGGCGTGTTCGACAACCGCTGCAAGCCTTTGCTCACGAATGCGCGCGGCGCCAAAGCGGGAGCCCAAGGTTGAAGACCGCCCACCCTCAGCAGTTCAGTCTGGAGCGGGCGCAGGAGAGTCTAGAATCGATGAATCGGATCGGCGATCGACATTAATCGGATGGGCGGGGATCGGCAGCCGAGTCGCGAGGAGTCGACTCGGCGGAAATCGGCAGGGCAGCGGGTGGGGCCTCATCGAAAAAATCGGAAACCACATCGGGATCCGAAGCCGGATCGAATCGGAAGCCATCGAACTCGAATCGAATCGACTCGAAGGAACCAAATCGATCGAATCGGATCGACGAGAAGTCGAATCGAATAGACTCGAATCGATCGAAAGGAATCGAAGCGAGCCCTGCGGGCGCCCCCCACCCCGCCCCTCCGCGGCGGGGCGCGGAGCGCAGCAGCTGGAGGGCGCGCGCGCGCAGCGCGGCGGCCCGCTGCTGGATCTGCACGAAGCTGGGCGAGGCGGAGGGCAACGTCTTCTTGAAAAGCTCCTGAGGAGAAGGGGGAGGGGGGAGGGGGGGAGGAGGAGGAGGAGGAGGAGGAGGAGGAGGAGGAGGAGGAGGAGGAGGAGGAGGAGGAGGAGAAGGAATAGGAATAGGAGGAGGAGGAGGAGGAGGAGGAGGAGGAGGAGAGGAGTGAGGAGGATCATCATCAGGAGCAGGCGCATGGAGTTCTGACCATCACAACCGCCAAACGGGACGTCTGCTGCCGACCATACAGGAACTCGGAGGGGTCCGAATCAGACCAGATGCGCTGCCACAGGCCAGCGCTCTCGTCTTGTGGCCTCACTGCCCCCATCAAGGGCACCCCAAGGGAACATGGAACATCAGGGGCCCCGACATGGACCAGGGCCACGGGCTCTTCCCCGACCCCGATCTCTCTCTCTCTCTCTCTCTCTCTCTCTCTCTCTCTCTCTCTCTCTCTTTGCTTTGCTGACAGCTGGCGCCTCTCGCCCCCCCGTCGCCCCCCCCCCCCCCCCTCAGGGCTCTGGAACCTTAACAAACATGCTCAGACAGACGCTCCGAATCCATCAACTCCTGAGGTCTAGAACTCGAGGCCAACAAAGGGGGACACTCCCCACGCACAGCCCGCCAGACGCCGAGCCAACATTCACTCTACCCCCCCCCCCGCAGCGGCAGCAGCAGGCCTCCCCCCCACCCCTTCCCTCTCCAAAAAAAGCTCGCCTCAGAGGTGCCCCGCACAACCTCGCGACGACGTCGCGGCGAGGAGGCGAGCGGCGCCCCGCTCGAACGGGCCCCGCGGCGCGGAGCCTGCCATCTTCACCGCCTTCATCCTCTGCGTGAGTATATGCGCGCACAGCCGCGCGAAAGCGCACATCTCCGCCGTCGCGCGGTCGAAGCAGGCCACCAGGCGGCCTCTGCCCGCCGGGCCCGCAGGGCCCTTGTTCCTCTTCCACTAAAGTACGGGATCAGCTCGGCCAACTCCTGGGGATTCGACCGCTGGACAATCTTGCGATAGAATTCCTCGATCGCGCCCTCCCCCCCAACCCTGGCTGTCGATCCACATCGCGAAAGCCACGCAGATGAGCGCGCGCGGGGGCCCTCAACTCTCGCAGTCTGGATTACCGCCGTCGGCTTTCTGCGTTTTGAGGGCCCATGACTCCTCGTTCCATGGTTTGCCGGCGTCTTCCACCGCCAGGTGGAATCATTCCCCCCCCCCCGCATGTTCATCTCGCGCGCGATGCACACCGTGCCAGTGAGTTCCGCGAGCTCTTTCGAGCTCGCCAGCGCCAGGCGCGCGAGGATCATCGGCAACTTTCCGAAGGCGGCGTCGCCCCCCCTTCTTGGCGGCATCTGCAACCTCGAACTTGAGTTCCTTTGACTTCTCTCCGTCGCCCGACGCGGGCGCTCGCTCCAGCCAGACCGGCGCCTCGCGGGGCATCGCGAGACCGAACTTCAAAGGCGGGCTGGACAGGGCGAGGCACATGCTCGAGCAAATTGATACGGAGGGCCCCGGGGTTCTAGGCCGTCGTCTTGCACGGCGCGCGCTCCAGGGGAGCGGGCCCCGCAATCCCCCGAAAAGTCTCACCCCCCGTCGCCGGGCACGCCCCCGAGATCGCGCCAGACGCCAGGCGCCCATCAGCCGTGATCTTACTCTGAAACGCCCCCCGACACACGACGCATTGGTTTGTGCACGTCGAGACATGAGCCAGAGAAAGAACAGGATGGCACGCCCGACGGCGTTCAATGGCTGCGCCCGTGCCTCAAAGCCCACGTCGCAAACCTCCCCGCCACCCCCCTTCCATTCACATGCCCAAGGTTCAGCCCCCTCAACTCACTCCTTCAAGCCGCGCGCGATCAGCATCCTCATCGCGGACTGGGGGCTGCCAGCCAGGCGGGGGGATACACTTTCTCAAGCGTCGCCAACGGACCCCCGCGAAGTCAAAACGAATGAGCCCCCGGGCGATCTCTGACTCCAGAATGCCGAACGGGCCCGCGGACGGCAGGGGCAAGACAGACGGCTCATCCACAAGCGCGCTGGCACGGGGAAGCCGCGGGCGAGAGCGCCGAAAATGGCCGCGGGACATTACTTAACGTCTGACACACCAATTGCCCACAGAGAGCCCCCAGCCCATGGCTATGTTGATCAGGCTTTCGGGCCCGCGCCCGGCGCAACCGCCGCCTGCGCGCGAGCATCTCGATATATCGGCCGACGCGAGCTCCCAGTAGTCTAGGGCCCCATCCGCACCCCAGCTCCTGATCTCATCGCCCTCCCTGTCACGCGCCTTCCCCAGATAAGGCTACTCTGCAGAAATACCCTAGCTCATTGTCGATCTGTTTGCATTGCAACTTCGTCACCCACATGGGCCCGAATCCGCTAAGTAAGGCGTTTTGATGTAGACGAATAAGCAGACATAATTAAAAATTCCAGGGGAGCGATACTTGCCAGATGCCCCCAAGACTCCAGAAAGCACGCGAGGCTGAATTAAGGCGATCGTGGAGCTCCACCCCCGCCCTGCCATCAAGGCGCACCCTGGGGCACGCATACCGCATTCCTTGTCTAATGCTGCCTCCCAAAACTTCAGGGCAATGTGTTTTTTTAGCCACAGCTTACACCGAGCAGCATCTGCACCTTCGATCCTGGCCAGGAGCTCCTGCAGTGAGACGTTCTGGGCGTATCCGATCTTCTCCAGCTCCAAATTGAGCGTGGGATCTGAAGCGTTTAGCTGCTGAACCAAATCCTTCTACTGGCACTCTGGTGGCGCCGCGTCGAACTTCCACAAATCGCCTGCAAATTGAAGAATGGGGCGCCGAAAAGTGCCTTGGGACAAATCAAACAGTGAACGGGGCACCCATCAATCCATCTTCTCCCGTCTTGATAACTAGGTCTCGGTCAGCGCTCGGGAGATTGATAATTGCGTCTCGAAATCTCTGAATAGCTAACTTTCGATTTTCCTTTCTCGAGCACTGCTGCGCCGCGAATTCCAAACCCGCCCAGACTCCGCAAACACATGCATTAGATAAATATCCCACGCTCGCTGTGTAAGAGCGCCCACTCCGCGACATCCCCCACGCGACCACCTGCGCCCCCAAATTCGCGCGCCCCCTTCTCCTCGCCCGCGCGAAGCCGCGATCGAACGAGCCGGGTGGCGCCTGCAAAATATCAGCAAACAAAACGCGCAACTTTCCGAGAGACGGCAACAGGTCCACCACACTTTTCCCCGCAGGACCTGGCTTGCTCGACTTCCTCAGCGCGCAACCCGAACTGTCTTGCCAGTAAACGGGCACACGTACATTGCGTCGGATATTTCTGAAGACAACCACCAGAAAGCCATGCACTTTCGTCATCTCAGGTAGTTCCGACTGAAATCCTAGGCCACGCCCGTTGCAAGTGGAAGTCCGTGGTAGAGGGTGTAAACGCAAATGCCAGAGCTTAGCTGGCGCCGTTCCTTCTAGCACTGCACGACGACGCGGGGCCCGTCGAGATCTAAATTCAATCCTCACGTAGTGCCAGCCTGCAGCGCAGACGCTGGCTTCCGTCAAGGGCCACCATGAGGTGTTGAGTTGCTGTGGTTGCTAGCCGTTCCAATCGATCTCAATGGCACTCATTCCTCCATCGCATCCGGCCTGCTCCCAGCGCTGTAGCCAATTCGCTGCTGCAGGAGACGCTCCCTGGAATAATCTCGAATCTCTTTTCTTCGGTCCGAACCGGCATCTGGCTGCAAAACGACATAACCGCATCGCGACCGCAACTTGCCTCTGCCCACAAACCTCGTAGATTTCCTGCTCCAATCCTTCCCGTCATTTCTGCGCGTGGCTCCGTCGTGTCTTTTTTTTTCACATGCTGGCGTAGCTGATTCAGCTCTGTCTCCACCTGCCCCCGTTCAGCTCCAGCTGATATCAATTCTCGCAATCTACAACGCTCAGCGAGAAGTTGTCTTCGCCGAAACGCGCCTTCCAAACATTGTTTCTATATCGGTCCGATCTGGAACAACGAATGTCCGCAACTTACCATAACTTCTTCCAGAAACTCAAAGGCTTCATCTGGGTTCGGACGCATCACCGAAGAAATCCACTCATGTTCGATTGCCGTCAACGTTTCAACAACCGCCGATAGAAAGTACGCCTTCCTGTCGCCATATTCAATGCGTTCACGAGGTTGCCCCGATCCCATCGCGAAGTTTGGGCGGGCACCCTGCATTGCCAGTCCTTCTCCACTCGCAGCGACATCTACCCAGGAAGGTGATCATGTGGGCCTCTGCCTTCGATTGCCTGCAGCTGTCTGCCCAGCTTACGCAGTGGGCGACTTCGATCTATACGACCGCGTGCCCCAGGCGCGACAATGCAGAAATCGATAAGGCTGCAAATATTCTGTCCTGAATACGTGGGAGCACGAGGCCCAGAGCGACTAGCCACGACCAGCTGATGCCAATCCATCAGAAGTCGCAGTCCCTCACTCGCCCCGCGTCTCCTTGCCTCGCGGGTCGCCGCGGGGCCGAATAGAGTCACTCTCCGCGCGCTGCCAGCGCCCGCTCCCCCTCGTCTCTCGATGCCGTCGTCGGCGTGCACAAGTGTCATCGGCTGGCATATCTGGGGCATCTAATTCAACGCGGGATTCATCCAATCTTTTAGAACTCGAACCGTTTACACCCCATCGCTCGTAACATCGCCTGGCCGCCAGCTCGATTCGGGCGCGGGATCTGCCATCAAGCCATGAGCGGGGCATGGCGCGGCCGCTCGGCAAAACTCTCCGACCCGGACGGCGGCTGGAAGAGGAGGAGGGGGGAGGGAGGAGGAGGAGGAGGAGCAGCAGGAGGAGGAAGGAAGAGGAGGATGGGGGGGGAGGACCCCAGAGCGACCTAAGGGGTTCACGCAGCTCGAGGAACAGCTGCAGCGACCGATAATGCGCGGTCCCAATTGACGCGCCCTAAGGGCACCATGCAAAGCATGCGATCGCTGATAGAACGAACGCTGATCTTGGAAAAAATCATGGGGTTGGTGCCGGTTGAGCGACAAAAAAGAATGGGTCT